TGCACCAGCTGAGAGGTGTTGTCACCTGCATAGCCCACGCTAGGGGATCGTGGCAGGAGGATGGTAAAGGTCACAGGGTGCTCTGCTGACTTATAATGTGGGAAGAAGATTTAAAGGTACACATTGGCTGAAATTCCTTTTAATCATGTTTAATCAATTCAACCGCTCAGGCGAAAGTCAGTTACTTTTGCTGATGTATCAGGTGAACCGTATGACACTTTATTTTATTTGGATGATGTGCCAATGCTGCACCCTTCCCTATAGTTTGAACAGCTAATCAGCTGCAGGAAAACCCAGTGCTATCTTAGTGTAACATGCAGTGTGTAAAACAGACTAGAATGCCATATAGCAGGATAATCATTTCCTTCTGCAGTGAGACCTCTGCTTCTGAAACTGGAGCAGACCCATTAGAGTGGGAAGTTGTTTTGTTGTTTTTTCCCACCAGGCCAAAGTGAAAACTCTGCCAAGCTAGATCTGAGTCAAACTAGCGGCAGACATTGTTTAAGGGTATGTCTACAGCACCGCTGGAAGCGAGCCTCGCAGCCTGGGTAGACAGACTTGCTAAAAATAGCAGTGTGCATGTTCCAGTAGCAGCCAAGAGTTGGGCTTGCCATCCACACTTGGGGGTAAGGTGGGTCCCCACTTGAATGGCTAGCATAGGCTTCTGCTGGTGCTGCAACATCCATAGTTATTGTTAGCACTTATTTGTCCAGTCACGCTGAGAGACTCACTCTCAGCTCAAGTGTAGACATTCCATACATGGTCTGCGGGAAATAAGTGTGGTAGTTTTCAGTCTGGTTCTTCATGCACAAGAGTTACATTGCAAAGAGAACCATCATCATAATTGGCACAACATTTGGTATTGTTGGTAGCCCCTGCAATGTGGGCAGGCCCCAGAACTACATGGAGACTAAAGTATCAGAGGGGTAGCCATGTTAGTCTGAATCTGCAAAAGCGGCGAGGAGTCCTGTGGCATGCATCTGACGAAGTGGGTCTTTGCCCACAAAAGCTTATGCTCCTACACTTCAGTTAGTCTGTAAGGTGCCACAGGACTCCTCGCCGCTTATGGAGACTAAAGTTACTCTTGAACAGTGAGGTCCAACAAGAGCCTACCTGAGTGTCTAGGGAAGCTTGCATTTTTGCTGCCTCTGCCACAGTATACAGGAGATCTACTTTTTGGTTGGATGTATTCCTGGAGGTTTCATCACATAATAATTTTTAATTCCTCGAGACTCCAGGGCAGTCCTGGAGAGTTGGCAGCCCTAGATGTCACTGATGTCAATCTAGCCCTTTTCAGCATTAGTTGAAGAGGTTGTCACTTGGATCTATTCCAGGTACATCACAGCTTATGGTAAAAATAAACCAATCAGGGGATGACTGGGCCAATTAGAAAAGAGCTAATTCTGAGCATTAAGGGTCTGATATTGAAAAGTGAGCTCTGTATTGTGTTGCAAAAAATGCAATGTATAAACTTACTTTCTATGGCATTTGTCACTACAATGTCCTTGTGGCTTTCAGACATTAATGGCCTCTTTGAAACTTGTGCAATAGATGTTTTCCTCCAAAACTGAATATCTGGATGGTTGTGAAGATCCGTTACCCAAAGTTCTTAAGAAGCAGAGAGCGGGAAGGGCTTTAAGTGAGTGAGAGTGATTGATTCTTGAAAAGAAGACTGCATTTAGCCCTGAAATGTGTATTCCTTGTTTTGTAGGAGGAGCTGAAACATTTTGAAGCGAAAATTGAAAAACATCATCATTACCAGAAACAGTTAGAGCTTTCCCATCAGAAACTGAAGCATGTGGAGGGGACAGGAGATAAAGAACATCTGAGCAGAAACAAAGAGAAATATGTCATGCTAGAAGAAAAGACGAAAGAACTGGGCTATAAGGTATGTATAAATACTACATGTTGCGAAGTACCCCCATGGAAGGTTTAACTCTCTGCTTTAGAGGTAATTTGGATCTTCCTGTGTGTTATCCAGGCTATTGACTTATTTGTTGTTAGTCTTCATTTGTATTACAATAGTGATGTGGGGCCCTGTCACAGAAGCTGGCTCTTTCAGGAGGGTCAGGGACTAGCCTACTTGTAACAAGCACTAATAAAGAAGAATGAGCCAAATCAGGCCCAGGTAGAAATAATTAAATCTCATGGTGGCTGGTTGGCAGCTAATAAGCCTGATGACAGGGCTCAACTGGAGTGGTTCCCAGAGACTGGAAGCTCCTGGGGAGAGGAGCTTGCAGGAGAGACCTGGAAGGTGTGTTCCTAAAACAGGAAACACTCAAACTCTGTCAGGAAACCCATCTGGCCTGTCAAGAACCACACACTGCCCAAGAGGAGCTGCAGTTGACAGATCTTTACAGGCCCCTGGCTCCAGGGAAGGATTCTTCCCAGCTAATGGTAATAGACATGACTCCAAGCTAGGGATGCAAGCCAAGCAAACCCTGCTGCAGCTGGACAGCAATCGATAAACTAAGACTGACTGTCTCCCAGCTGACAGTATTTGCTTGTGTTTTCATTGGGTCTTTGGCTAATAAACTAGACTCCTCAGAATGACTGTAGTTTCATATATAGTCTTCGTGGATTTATTGATGACATGAGGTGGAAAGCCAGGCAGGCAGCATTTATAGGCACGTGGCCAGAATGGGGCACTGTAGGGCAGGGACAGCCTGTAACAGATCCTGTTTGTTATTGGGGTGCCGTGGCGCAGTTCAAGCATACTAAAGGACTGTCTCAGTCTTGCAGAATTTACAACAAAGCGAAAGGTGGAAGGAAGAAATAAGTGTTGTCCCCATTTTAATGGGCAAGTTTATCCAGGCTTACACAGAAGCCTCCAGGAGAGCTTGGCATGGAAGCCTGAGTCCCAGTACAATGCCTTAACCACAACACCATCCTTCTTGTCACTTCAGGAAATCCTGATTTGGAATATTGAAAAAGTTCTCAGTTGCTATGATCAAGTAACAGGTTTGGCTTTTTGGGAATTGAGCCTTAAAATTCTGTCATTTCACAGGTCCATCAAGTGCAATACACACCAGTGGTAAAATGTGAATATGTAAAAACATTTTCTGATCACTTAGTAAATATATTTTTGCCCTTTTTAGGTGAAGAAGCACCTACAAGACTTAGCCACTAGAATCTCAAGAGGTCTTCAACACAATGAACTCTGAACATATTTTCCATGTTGTAGAAAACACCCAAGAAAGCACTTTTCCTGGGACTTACTGAATACCCAGAGAAACAAAAAATTAAATAGTAAGCTTCCAACTGGATTGTCCTTTGCAAGGAATATGGTATCAGTCCTTTTATAGTTTAGTCACTGAAGTGACACCTTGATTGTGAAATTAAATGAGTCGGTTATAAATATACATTTAATTTGCAGATCTTTTATCATTTAACTCTTTAAATTTTGCATCTGCATCACATCAAGTCTTTCAAATAATCATTCAAAAAAAAGTAGACACTGTTTATGAGCTCTGTTGGTTGTACTTGGAGGAGGGGGGAGATATATTTCCCAGACCAGTTGAACTAAAGCATGATGCTGCAAAGATTTAATAGAATAATCTAAAATTATAGTCTAATCTAGGGATGTAAAATTATAGTCTAATCTAAAGTAGGGATGTAATAGTGTAGTTGATTAAGCAAAAGCTTATCGGTTAATGCTGTAGATGACCCACATTTCCCCTTCCCCGCAGCCAGTAAATGATTCAGCAGGCTGGCCAACTCAGTCCTGGCTCATGCCAGGTCCAGTACCTACCCCTACTGCGGCTCTGCATTCAAAGTGTATTAGGTGCAAGGTAGCCTGGATCAGTTCTGGCTTGCGCTGGGTCTGAGAGCTCAGCAAGCTCCCTTCTGCACCCAACTCTGTCCCAAACCTCCATAGACATGCAGCCCTTGACCACTTGCCAAAAACTTGGAGCAGCCCTGCATTAGAAATTATTGCCCATCTCTGTGATAATCCATGAACTAATGCCATCTGAAGATCACTAGACTGAAACTGAAAGGAGCATTCATATGCAAAAGGTTGTTTGACCAAAAGTCCTTGGTGACAAAGTATCTTTTTTCTGTAGTCTGATTTTTCATTATGCAGACTGTCACCATTTTACTTCTGGGGCGATTCTGTGCCACTGCATGTGTCAGAATTTGATTTTTTTTTCCCTCTGCAGAAAATACATTCTGCTGGAGTAGCACTGCAGTTACACCTGTAGCCCACCAGGTGCTGCTGTTGCCGCACAAAAAGGACACCCCGTTTACTGTAGCAGCCAATAGGGAAGAGAAGTGTGTTTCCTCACAACATCCTGGCTATAGGGCCAGTCGAGGGGGCACAGGTGATGGCGGGAGGGGTCTGGACAGGGTGGGGCAGGTTGTATAGACTGCAGTTCAGAACCACAAATGAAGAGGACCGACTGGGGCTGAATAGGAAGTGAGGCCAGGACATGGTGTGTGTGGGGGGGGGGGGGGGGG